AAAAGAAAACACTGGATTGGGATGAAAGTGGAAAAGTGGAAGTGAAAGTTTATTATCCAATACCATCTGATTCCAACTGAATAAACCCAGATTAAACCAAAACCATAACTTCTCTCAAAACTTCTGCTGACGGACGGGATCGAACCGGCGACCAATGGCTTATTAGACCAACGCTCTACCGACTGAGCTACGCCAGCTTATTGATAATAATTGGTTTTAATAATGCTACGTCATTTGCTTACATTTTAAATATATTACTCAAAATTGAAATTGTTCTCAATAAAATGTAACATAACGTAGCTCCTTCAACGTTAAAATTATTAAATACCAACTGAGCTACGCCAGCTTCTAGAAGACCCTTAATGAACTTAGCAAATACCTTACCAATTAACATCATGGTGGACAAGCTAAAAGTACTATTTTTGAACATTTTGGTAAATTGTGGTTGGTTCTCTTCTAACAGGAATTCAGAAGATGTCACATCTCTTAAGAACATCATAAAACTTGACAAGAAAAAATAAGCAAACAAAGCAGATCTGCAAGATTTTGAAAATTAATTTCGGAGGAACTATTCATCAAAAAAACATGGAGAAAAAACTCTACTCTCTCCAACGAGAAGAAATATTTTCAGATGATATTTGTTTTGAAATAATTTCCATGATTGATGATTCGTGGTTTATTTTGAATAATTGTTCCTTGATTTCAAAACAATTCTTTAATGTGATCAAGGAACGTTCAAAACTTTTTATTGAATTTAAAAAAAAATTTACAGAAAAAAGAATTGAACTATTCACAAAGAGTCAATTTATGAATAGTATTGTTAAAGTTAAATTTTCAACAAATTTGTTTGTCTCTATTGAAAATCACAAATTCATAAGTGAAATGAAACAATTAACTTCACTTAATATTTCTAACAATCAAATTAATGATGAAACTGCCAAATCAATAATTGAAATGAAACGATTAACATCACTTGATATTGGTGGAAATCAAATTGGTGATGAAGGAATCAAATCAATAAGTAAAATGAAACAATTAACATTACTTGATATTAGTGGAAATAGCATTGGTGATAAAGGAGTCAAACCAATTAGTGAAATGAAACAATTAACATCACTCAATATTTATAACAACGAAATTGGTGTAGCAGGATCCAAATTTATAATTGAAATGAAACAATTAACATCACTTGATATAAGCTACAATAGCATTGGTGATGAAGGAGCCAAATCAATAAGTGAAATGAAACAATTAACATCACTCAATATTAGTGGAACATAGCATTGGTGTAGAAGGAGCCAAATCAATAAGTGAAATGAAACAATTAACATCACTTGATATTGGTGAAAATCAAATTGGTGATGAAGGAGCCAAATCAATAAGTGAAATGAAACAATTAACATCACTTACTATTAGTGGAAATAGCATTGGTGATGAAGGAGTAAAATCAATACGTAAAATGAAACAACTAACATCATTTAATATAAGCTACAATGAAACTGGTGTAGCAGGAGCCAAATTTATAAGTGAAATGAAACAATTAACATCACTTGATATAAGCTACAATGAAATTGGTGATGAAGGAGCCAAATCAATAAGTGAATTGAAACAATTAACATCACTTACTATTAGTGGAAATAGCATTGGTGTAGAAGGAGCCAAATCAATAAGTGAAATGAAACAATTAACATTACTTGATATTGGTGAAAATCAAATTGGTGATGAAGGAGCCAAATCAATAAGTGAATTGAAACAATTAAAGTCACTTACTATTAGTGAAAATCAAATTGGTGATGAAGGAGCCAAATTTATAATTGGAATGAAACAATATGGTTCCTTTAAATTACGATTAGTAAACCTAATATGGATGTAGAAAGTATTTTAACAGTCCAACCTGCATTACAATTGACAGTGTTATTGTAACTGGAGTGGGATTGAAACAAGCAAGGAATTTCATAGATTGGATAACTTCCACCATAAAAATTGCAATCAACACTTGCTTGAGTTCCAGCAGTTCCACTTAAAAAAAATAGGCAGAACAATGTTCCCATTTCACAAACGGAAAACCCAACTGTTGGACGAAACTTCATTGGAAACAGTGGATATTTTGTCTCTTGTTTTTCAATTTCTCGAGCTGAAAGAATTATTCGCTCTCCAAAAAGTATCACCCTTCTTCTACCGAACCATTGAACATTTGAAATCCTTACTGATCCGACCAATATATGAAGTTGGTTTAGTTTCGTCCGATAAGAAACAATTATCGGAATTTCTTCAACTTACTTTAAAATCAGAATTAATTAGTTCAGCCACAAAGGAAAACCCACAAAAAGTTTCAAGTACTAGATACACTTATTATTCTACAACCGAAATCGACATGACAGATAAAAATGATGGCAATCAGCTCAAAAGTGTGAAATTTGGAGAGCATCATATGATTCATGCTTTTAACAAGGTTGAAAAGGAGTTTGTCTTTAAGAATGATAGATTTAGAGTATTCTTTTATCCGTTGTATTGTGAAAAGAGTACGAGTTTATCACATGATGATTATCAACGACTGGATGGGTTCATATTTTTGAATCCAAACAGCAAAGATGGATATTCAACAATGCCAAATGGATGTAGTTATTGTGCAACACTCTTGGATTATAATAATTCTTCAGTTGCCAATGAAACAGTACTAATGCCAGTAAGAAATTTCGGATCTTTTAAAGTTGAGAAAGTGAGTGAAAGATATTCGATAGAACAATCAATTCTCGACTGTATTAATTACATTTCAGAGAACTCAAATCGATCAATTCAATTGAACTCAATAGGAGATGGTTAAAATCATGTCTATTAGAAAAAATTTCATTAATCATTAAGGAACCCAATGATGAAATGGTTGCCACTAAAATATCAGATCAAAGAGCTGATACTCTCAGAGAAAGTGAGATACATGACCAGAAAATTGAATTCTTCAATTATCCACACAATGTCCAATTCAGTCTTTTGAAAAGACTTTACACAGCTCATTTGGGAAATGAAAATGTTAAATTCAAAGATGATCTCTATGCCATTCAGGTTATTTTCAATCAGCAATTCAATTCTAGAAAAAGGGATTCATACGATGACCATTTGGTGGAAATGAAAACTACGCTCTCATTCAATTTAGTATCTCAGGAAATTAAGTTCGAATACAAGAATATTACAAGAGCAAGTAGTATTGGCATTAGTAATAAAAAGTGTATCATTTGTTAGTCAATTCCAATTAAGAAAATTCTTCTTAGATCGGAGCAATATATAAATTTTAATTTTAATTAATATTTTAAAAAATGTTGTATTAACAACTTCATCCATCTACCAAATCATCATCACGAATAACAAAATAAATCATCAAAAATGGGCAATAATCAAACCACTTCTCACAGATCCCTTCCTACCGAGCATGCATCTTTCTCCAATTCTTCTCGCGAATATGCCAATCAATACATAATGATCGCAGGTGGTCCATCAGTAGTAATTTATCAAGGCTTGGTTGATCAAATAATTTCTATCGAAAATCGAATAGAAAATGCTGCTAATTATGAGAAGGTAAAGAGTGAATGTTTGAAAGGTATTCATCAACGTTTGGTGAAATATTTCCCTGTTCATTTTCATGATACAGTTTCGGAAAAGATAGAAGAACAATTGGTTGACCTGTGGCATAGCCCCAATTTTAAAGAGGAATACTTTGCGAATAGATTCCAGGTAGATCCATACTTGGTCTTGCCAACTGTATTTAATAATTTGGAGAGAGGAATCAAATTTAATTTGAAAAGAACTTGCTTGTTCCAACCAGCAGGTAGACAATATTATTTCACAACATGCTATTCGAAAACAACTGATAATTTTCCACACAGCCGTAATCAAAAGTTGACATTTGAATTATTTGCTAATTGTTTTTCTGCTGATACTTGGGCTGATGTAGTTGGAGCATCATTTTCTCTATCTGACTATGATAACAATCAATATTTAGATGAATTTTATCAAGTGTGTAGAAGATTGTCTGGATTTTCTACATACAGAATGATTTTAATATTTACTCATCTTGATGTTCTCAATGAAAAGATAAAGTTGGGACTAATTAACTTTGGAGGAGATAAAGATATAGAAATTCGAAAAGAATTCAACCATATTCCAAAAGAATGTGCTCTCATCATTGAATATCTCATCAAAGAAGCCATCAAAAATATAGAAATGAATCCAAGCCATGACTTTCCCAATAGGACATTGGAATACCACATTGTAAATACATCAAGTGACAGTGATATGAAAGAATTATTGGATTGTATTTGTATTGGAGCAAATTCTAAGAGAAAATGCTTCATATCCTCTAAAATTGAAATGCCACCTTTCTCATATCCTAACACCAGATTCAAGAGCAACATGCACAGAACCTCAGAACTAAATCAGTTTTGTGATATTGCAATATTGCTAAATTGACTTTAGTTTTCCATTTCCTAAAGGTCAGAACTCTCAAAATAAAAAATGAGCCAACAAGAAAAGGAGGAAACAGTGGCACCAACCAAAGAAGAATCACAGCCAGTTTTTCCCGATGATGTGATATTTGAAATTATTTCCTTCAATAATGATTTTAAATTTACAGTAAGGAGTTGTGCGTTGGTTTCTTCACAGTGGTTTAATATCATTTCGGAAAGATCAAAACTTTCACTCACACACAACAGTAAAAAGAAAATTAATGGCCAATTTTTACAGCGTATTGTAGCTGTATTCCATTTCTTGATCAAGTATTTGATCTCAAGAACTTGACTACCCTTGACGTTAATTGTATGAAAATTAAAGATGAAGGAGTAAAGATAATAAGTGAAATGAAACAGTTGACCAATCTTAATGTAGGCAGCAGTGGTATTAGTGTTGAGGGAGTCAAATATATCAGCGGCATGAATCAATTAACTAATCTCAATATAAGCCGCAATAATATACGAGCAGAAGGAGCCCGTTACGTTAGTGAAATGAAACTATTAACCAATCTTAATATTTATTTAAACGGTATTAGAGCAGAAGGTACCAAATACATCAGTGAAATGAAAGAATTGACTTGTCTTAATATAATGAGTAATGCAATTCACGATAAAGGCGCAGAATACCTTCGTCAAATGCCTAAATTGAAGACACTCAATATTAATTCAAATAGTATCAGTGTAGAAGGAGCCAAATTTATTAGTGAAATACAGTCATTAACTAATCTTGACATTGGTTTCAATACTATTGGAGATGACGGTGTCAAATTTATAAGCAAAATGGAAAA